CTCCCCTCCCCTCCCCTCCCCTCCCCTTTCTTTCTTTTTCATAACTTATTTTCTCCTATCTTAACAATACAAGAAGAAAATTTTCCTACATCATTAAAATTATTCTTGATTGACACTGGAGCAACCAAGAACACAGACTCGAGCTCAATGGTGTTTGAATTCCTGCCATGCCTGTTATTAGCTGGCTGACCTTGGTTCTGCCATGTAATGTATGTTTGCTTCAGCATCTGCCCCAACATCTCTCTCTATCTGTAAAATGAGATAATGATAGTTAATACCTACTTCCTAGGGTTGTTTTGAGGATTGAATGGCTTAAGATGTCAAGTGCTTAGAAGAATGTTTATCACATAGTAACTTCTCAGTTGGTAGCTTTGTCATCACTGTTGATACATTACCACACTATGTCATTATTATTGATAACATAGTATTCCATAATATGGTTTACCATAATTTATTTCAGTGATTTACTTTGGTTGATATTTAGATTGTTTCCATTTTTTTAATGTTGTGAGCAATGTAACAGTAAACATTTCTATAGCTAGATTTATTATTTTTTTTGGATTGATCCGTGATTATTTTCTAAGAATAAATTCTAGGAGCAGCATTGCATGGTCAAAGGCCATGAGTAGATTTTAAGTGTTGGTTGCATGTTGCCAAATTTCCCTTTAGAATGAGCATTCCAATTTTTATTCCCATTAGTGGTATAAGAGTGTTCATTTCTTTACACCCTTGTCTACTTTGGGTGTTATTAAAATATATACCTTTGCCATTTCATAGGTGAAAAGTGTAATCTTACTGCTATTTTAGTTTAATCTTTTAATCTCCCTGCCTCCACTAGATATTTTTCAGATTTTAAAAAAAAGAAAGAAAAGAGATCTTTTGCTGTATTTCTGTAAGGAAAAGTGATCGCGAGAACTGTGTTGCTCTGGTACTTGCTAAGTTCGTGTATTCACGTAGCACAGGCATGTGCTGCAGCAACTTACACCTGTGAGCCCTTTTCTGTCAGTTGAAGATCAGGCAGCTGAGCTATGATGATTAATTTACCTGTGATGGCACTGAATACAATCAGTAACTACTCAATTGTCCAATAACCCTCTCTCTTAGAATTATTCAGTAGACTTGCCAAAGAGCGGTTTGTTTTAGCACTAAGCTCCTATAGACCTCTGTTCTCGCACATAGACTACTTAGCCCCTACGTGATAACACATTTAGGGCAGTGCTTCTCTGAAAATGAACAGTGTTATTTGGACTGTTTTGGTGAATTGTTTCGGGGCAGTTTCGGGCTGACCTTGGGATAGATCAGTTGTGCAGTAGGCATTGTTTTTTACACCAGCCTTCTACCAACTTTATTTGCAACCCCTCCCTTCCTCTTGTGCCCTTTAATCATAGTTATCTGGTGTTTTTCTCGTGTCCTAGGCTCTGGCTGTCCCCTTTATTCTGGCCCTTTTCTGCTTTTTCTGGCCTTCAAATAAAAAAAGAAGTATCCTATGTATACCTCTTCCCCTATGGTTCTGGTCTGTCTCTCTTAGGTTGTCTCTAACTGATCTGGTAAACTGATATTGAGGCATGGAACGTACTTAATGTAATATTCTTCTTGGCAACACTTATTTTTAACTGTGGCTTCTGGAAAAAAATCTTAAGCCAAAGAAGTGAATGCAATAGTTGTAGTTTTATCCACAGCAGAAGAACAGTAGATGCTGTATTTTTGAGAAGATGACGCTCTTGGACTCTGAAGTTGAATATTTTTAACGGATGCTCATTTATTCACAGGTTTGGTATCATCTTTCCTCTTAATTCTCCCTTCTCCCTTTGCCCTGTGCAGTGTCTGCACATTCCTTGTTTTCACTGATTCTCACCATCACATGTTTGGAGATGGTTGTAGGACTTCTCTACATGACAGCTGAGCTAAGGCGTGCCTCGCCCATCCCCCAGGGAGGGAGGACCAGACTCTTCAGATGGGAGAAGAAACCTGGATACTTCACTGTGTGTGTTCAACATCATTTTTTGTTTTGAATCGTTTTGTAGCTAACATGTTCAGTTGATGTTTTAATTTCAGACCTTATTAATTAAGAGGACATTTTATTAAAATGGCTCTTGGGTTTAAAAAGGTAAAAATCTCATTTAAAACTGTGTCTTTAAGTGATTTTTTTTTTTTAAGTTCTTGAAACACTTTAACTTTTTAATATGGAGTTTTCCCCAGTTAAATTGAGGAGTGACATGGCATTCCTAGTGGGAGATATGCTGTGCTTGATCTGAACAAAATTTCTGTAATTTATTTGAAAATACACTTTTTTCTTTCTTTATGAATCCTTTTGCTTCAGATAAAATACCCAGGCGCTGACATGGATATCACTCTATCTGCTCCATCGTTTTGTCGCCAAATTAGTCCAGAGGAATTTGAATACCAGAGAGCATATGGCTCTCAGGAACCTCTGGCAGCTCTGTTGGAGGAAGTCATAACAGATGCCAAGCTCTCCAGGAAAGAGAAGAAGAAAAAGCTGAAGCAGGTACAGAGGCTGTTCTCTAGTCATTTCTCTCCCTCCCTATTGTTCTTACGTGGTTTTAATTCTCTATTGCGATAGGTTTCATCGGGATCTCATCTTCTGAGAGAGCAGTGCTGAAAGCACATTGTTTAGCTCATGCATTCCAGAAGCCTCACTGATTTGCATGGTTGTTTCCCACATGCTCATTCTCCAGTGTAGATCCTTTGCCATTACTGAACTCTTCATGTGTTCTCTAATATTCATCTTTTATTTTGATATGTGGCATATGATAGGAGTTAGTGGAGCAATTACTTTATATTTAGAGATGCTAATAAATGACAGATTTCTTTGAAAGGCAAATCAGGATGGATTTACATATATAGAATGTCTAGAAATTAAAAGACTTTGGTTCTAATAGCCTTATCAAATTGGTTTCTTGCCTCGGGCGTCACTAAGTTTTTAATTCCTATTAGACAACATGGCTTAGGGTTTCAGACAATAGTTTTCAACTCAAAATAGGTTTACTATGACCGTTCTTAAAATGTTGATCCAAGGTTAAATGAATGGTTTTTATTTTTAAAGACTGAATCCTGCATAGCTTGATTACTGAACACACCGTACATACAGGATCATACACAGCACCAGAGCTCTAGATTCCCGCTCAGATTTTTCTCAGTAACTTTGGAGAAGAGTTCAGTGGTGAGGAGCAAAGGAGAAACATGTTGCTTCCCTGTAAGCTTTTCACAATATAATATATACTAGAATGCTTTCCATTTGGGCAGAAGCAGGGGCCGCTGAGTTAGAGATGCAGGGAAATGGTGAAATGCAGTTGGATCAAAATTTTCTTTAATTGTTTAGAACATGTTATTTTCAAGTCAGAGCTACTTGTGAATATTTTTAAAGTAAGGTTTATTTACAGTTAGCACTGGGGGACATTTTAAGAAATGTGACTTAAATGAGAAGTTTATTTGAAGATTGAAACAAATTAAAGATGAATTAGATACACAGAAAGTGGAATCAAATGATTTAACATAAATAAATGCATTGTGTTGAAGTAAATTTGTGATCTGTTTTCTTTGCTCTCTTTTCTGATAGAAAACAATAAACATTAAAACAAAACAAAAACAGGAAAGTATGGGATCAGGAACTCATGTTAAAATTAGATTGCCCAATTTTATTGGCTTTCATCTGTTTTTTGGACTCATTGTGGATCTTTTCTTTTTAGTTTCAAAAATCCTATCCTGATGTCTACCAAGAACGATTTCCCACTCCAGAAAGTGAAGCACTCCTGTTTCCTGAAAAACCAAAACCAAAACCACAGCTGCTAATGTGGGCACTAAGAAATCCTTTCCAACCATTTCAAAGAACTAGAAGTTTTCGGATGTAATACTTCACAGCCGGTGGAGAGCTCTGATGTTGTTTTGAGTAGAAGAGTGGTTAGAGAGTATGGTGGTGGAAGAAAGAAGAGCAGAAAATACAGACTACTGAAATATAAATATGATCTGACTTAAAAAATGTCGAGCCATTATCAGTATTTTTCTAAAACTCAGTGCTATTTTTAAAGTGTACAAATCAGTTAAACATTTTGAAATAAATATATAGTCATAATGTTAACATGTTTATAATTATTAGAAAATTTAAGGGTATTTTTATTTGTTGTTTTCATGGTGTTTATGAAATAATTGTGTGTACATCCTAGTTACTGATGTCTCTGCTATAACCAAGTCTTAGGAATAGTGTATGTACTTGAATAAGAGACACTGGGTACCGTGACTGTGATGCTATTGACTTAATAGTCAGTTATGATATATCCTGTGTAAATTCTGTTTTTCATTGTTGCATAAAGATTCTTAAATGTCCTGTGTTATCATGTCTGTGTCTTTTATTGCAGGTTTGTTGGATGCTATTACAGATTTTACTGAAGCTGGTTCTGTTATAAGATATATACTTGTTGATGTTTACCTATAAGCGGAACAGTTTTTCTTCTGACTGCGGTGGTGTAATTTCAGTCTTGACTAGAGATGGAAAACTGAACAGGATACAATCTTTTATTCCCTTTACACATGTGATTCTAAGTCAAATCTTTGTTGTTTCATGAAAACCACAAATGGGTTAAGCAAAATGAGACTACCTTTATAAATATATTTCCCCCAACTTCCTCATTCTTTTGAAAGTAAATAGGATCTAAATAAATACTGTTGTTTTGTATAAAAATATTATACATGGTTTTTTGGCATTTATTTAAGTATCTTCAAATGCTTAACATCATTGCCTTGGCTGTATATTAGTCATTTATTTCTATGATAAAATAAGAAGTGAGATTTGAGCTTTTGTACCAGCTTTAGGAGGGTACTTTGTCCATTTCTTTTGCTTACTTTGTGCTTTTGCAGATAGTGGTACCCTTGGATTATGGAGTATCTGGAAGGCTTCTGAGAGCAACTACCCAAAAAGTTAGAGCAACACTCGCTAATGGGATGCTCTGCTCTTTGTTCTGATTTTTCCTTGCACCTGAGATCTGCCCCTGTTCTTTTGTAGCAGAATGCCTCCAATAATTGACTCAGATTTTCTTACTTAAAAATAGATAAAAGTATCTGTACTGGTTTGGGTACCACCTTACTTTGCAAATAGATAAAGTAATGAGAGTTTTTTAGTGTTTCAGAATTTATTTTCAAACCTTGGAATTCTGTTTAGAGCAAAGAATAAGTCTACTGTTTACTCAATTTGCTCTCCACAGTAGAGGTTACTTTCCAGAGTCTCCTTTCCTATTGCTTATCTTTGGAAATATATGTTAGTTTTCCTTTTCTTCTTCTTAATGTTACTTTTCTTTAAGTATAATATACTTATGGAGAGAGTGAAATTGCTGAGTGGATAATAGCAATTGTTCAAAGTGGTTGTACCCGTGCACACTCCCGTCAGCAGCATGAGTGCCTTTGCTCAGCATCCTCAGCAAGACCTGCTGGTATATGATGGTCTCATTATGGTTTTACTTTGCATTATTAATATGGTTAAAGACTATTTCCAAATATATATAATATATATTTAAGTATTTTTATTGATATTTAGAGAGAGAGGGAGAGAGAGAAACACCCATGTGAGAGCAGAACATTGATCGGCTGCCTCCTGCACCCCCCCCCCCAGGGGATTGAGCCTGCAACCCTGGGCATGTACCCTGAGTGGGAATTGAACCCACAACCCTTTGGTGTATGGGATGACACCCAACCAACTGAGCCACAACGGCCGGGACTCCAAATATTTTTTTGACTTTTTCCACTTCTGTTCAAATTTTAATATCAGGTTATCAACTAAACACACACACACAAACACATACACAGTTGAGATTTTGACTTGTACTGTATTGAATTTATAAATCAATTTGAAGAGACTTGCTATCTTTACAGTATTAAGCCTTTCAGTCCATGAACATAGTTTACACCTTTATTTATTTAGAATAAATGAGAAAAATATTTAAATTTCTCTGTAAAGGCTTGCAAATATTTTGTTAGATTTATTCCTAGGTATTTGATATGTTTAAAAAATGTATTAAAATTTCATATATATATAAAAGTAAAGATAATAGTACTCATCCCTAGCTTCAACAGTTATTTAACTAACAGGTGCCTTGATATTTGATTCTGTTATAAATGGGGTTATTTTACAATTTCAGTTTTCTGTTTGTTGCTTATATAGTGTGTGTATACATGTTTTGTGTACTGATTTTTGTACCCAACAACCTTGCTAGACTTTCCTGTTCTAAACATCTAGTGTGATTCTTTTGAATTTTCTACATTTACTGCATATAAGCAAACAAAGACTGTTTTTGGTTTTCATTTTTGTGGTTGTCAGCATCTAAAATGTCCCCAAGACCCCTGCCTCTTGGTACTTAATGCCCTTGTATAATCTCTCCTTGAGTGTGGGTTGGATTTAGTGACACACTTATAACAGATTGAATGTGGTAAAAGTGATGGTGTATCACCTCTGAGAATAGATTACAAAAAGGCTCTGGCTTCCCTCTTTCTTGCCCTCTCTCTCCCTGGCTGCTCTCAAGAAAGCCAGCTGATTGACTGGAGCTGCCTTGGAGGGCCCATCAGGCAAGGATATGATGTCTCTTCCCAGTAGCTAGTGAAGATATATGAGGCCTGCCAACTGCTGCATGAGTGATCCTGTAGGTGGATCTTCTGAGGCTTGCCAACAGCTGCATGAGTGATCTTGGCAGAATCTCCTTTAGTCGAGCCTTGAGATAAAGGCAGTGTTAGCTGACACCTTGATTGCAGCCTGTGGGAGGCCCTAAGCCAGAGGATTCAACTACGCTGTGCCTGGATTTCAGACCCACAGAAACTGAGATAATATTTGTTGTTTTAAGCCACTTAATTCTGGGGTAATTTGTTATGAAGCGATAGATACTTTATACTTTCCAATTTTTATTTCTCCCTTTGCCCCCCCTTCCCACCTTATTTTTTTTTATCATTATGAAATGTCACTCCATCACTTATTTATAGATAATACGTCTTTTTTTGCAGGCTGCTTTTTAGGATGTCCTCTGTCTTCGGTTGTCTTCAGTTTACATGATAAACTTTTTAACAGTTATTCTGCTTGGGACTTGTAGGGCTTTTTAAATAAGAGGATTGAAGTCTTTCATCACCTTAAACGTTGTCATTGTCACAGTCTCTCTGCCTTTGAATAAACGTATTTTAGATCTTCTCACTCTGTCCTCTGTCTCTTACTCTCATGCAGCTGTCTTTCTGTGCTGCATTTCTTCCGTTTCAGCACTTTCTTCAGGTAAGTCTAGTCTGTTCAATTCCTGTAGCCACTATTATGGAAGTTGCATCCATTCTACAGCTCAGGAAACCGAGACTTGGTGAGGTTGGGTAACTTCCCTGAGATCCCCAGCTTGTGAGTAACACACTGGGCAGCTGTAGCCAGCTCTGTCTGACTGCAGAGCCCAGGCTCCTGACTAACATGTCTTATTGTCTCCCAGTGAGCACTATTTTATGGTTTTTATGAACACTTTTTAGAGAGTTACATATAAGCTCACATGTTATTTTTTCAGCCTATACTTTCTAAAACTTGAGATCTCAGGTGGCTTTTTGATTTGCAGTGTTTTCATTGTCCTAACCCAGCTTTGCCTAATTCATTCCAAGCTTCTTTTGGTCACTTTTACAAATACCTGGTGATGATTTTTCACTGAGTTTCCCACAATTCCCCCCAAATACTTCAACAATGATGAAAGCAAAGTGTTCTTTTGGAGCTCTGTGAATGCAATCATGTATTTGTTTTATTTGTAGGTATGATTTTTAAAGTATTTATGTATAATTGCTTTTATTTTTAGGTATGACAAGTAGAAAATGCCATAGTGATTATCATTGATTTCAGAAACTACAATAAGGAACTTACCAAATGAGTGTTCTGCACGGAAAATTTGAGAATACTACAGCACATTTTTAAGGCTGAAGTACCTCGTGTGTAAGCAGAATGATGGGATTCAGCCATTCATCATTCTGACTTCTCACACATCTCCTGGATCTGCCTTCAGGGGATCCTACCCAGGGTCTAGCAAATGTAAAATACGTATGAGTCATGACAGTGTTTGTGTTATCCAGGAGCCTGATTCTGATTCTTAAATCTAGGGGAGAGTTTCTATATATTTTTATAGGAAATGTAGCTTGAAAACAGCTAGTATTTGAGAATTGCTTATGTATAAGAAGAAATTAAATATATGTTTGAAATGTCATAAAAATCTTTTATCATGATTAAGACAGGAATCAGTTAAAAAGGCTCTTTACTATATGGGTGTGGCTATATTAAATTATATCTTTACTTTCATCCTCAAGAACAAAAACCTTCAAACATTAAAGGCCTGGAGCAAAGTGAAACTATTACCTGCTAAAATCCATGTTAAGAGGCAATTCAACTGTTTCTATCCGTCATCACAGTATTTGCCTAAATTTGAAGTACTGAATTCAAAATGAGACCGGAAATTCTAACCTTAGGGCGTTGGAATCATTCTTGGGTTTCCTTGCTTAAGACAACATAACCTGCAAAAAAGTATAAACCACAAACCTTGACAGCATCGCACATTGGGTCTTACAGGCAAACAAATTGCTCTAGTGTATAAACTTTGATTATTTGCTCCTGAGTACCCCAGTGATTTGAGAGTTGGGATCTGGGGCCACATCAGTAAACAGAGAATTGACTTACTTGTATCAACTGGAAATGCATTCATTATTTCATTTTGTAGAACAAATATGCTGCCTGGGATAAGTGGAGGGTATATTCACTAATAGGGTAAGTAGTAGCTTCTAGTAACCTTAATATTCAAGCTTTCAATGTGGGGAAATAAAATGGGAACAATACAGGGAAAATAGGGTACCAGCCCAGTTTTTTTAAATGTCCCTTTTTAGTTGTTTTGTGCTTACTTGTGTTGCTATGTAAGTTTTACAATTTCCTCATGAATGTAAGATTTAATTAAAAATGTACAGTTTTTGCAAATTCCACCTTGGAGAATTGTTACGCAAATTGCTTGCTTCATTTGAGGATCTAGAATAAATTATGTTTTCCATAGCCACACCTTTTTCAAAACAAAAAAATAAAATATATAGTTGGCTAGATCTGCTCACTCTGTACTGCCTCCTTTGGGGGCTCTTCCTTCAAAACTGAGGACACTTACAGCATCCAAGGCCTTCCCTATGAGAATACGACAAAGTTATTTGTCCTTCTGGCCCCCGCAAGTCCCACACCTTGCTGTCAGCATCTCTAATTAACAGTAATAACAATGTGGTCTTGAGAATTCTAGTGAGATAAATGCAGCCTTATTTAAAAACACACACCAGAGGACTAAAGAATATTTTGCTTTCATGAGCAATAAGTAAACTATCATTGATATTTAAAATTGAAGTACTTTGATTAGTTGTAGGCTAATCCAACATGGGAATGAAAAAGGCCTTTTGCTCACTGTTTCCACTGAGAACTTGTGACCTTTTGAAGAGCCCTGGCAACAAACATTTCAGTGATCATTTACCAAGAGAGCAGAAAGGTTTGCTGCTAAAGATAGTTATGCCAGGATAAAATGCAATCCCTGGTTTTCTGAGAGCCCATGATTCCAGTCTATGTCTAGTTACTGGTACTTATACCGATATTTTAAAATCAGGTGTGTTTTAGACTGCTATTTAAAAAAAAGCAAAGTCAAATGGGAAAACTGTTTTGAGGATCAGAATCAATG